AAGACAGCAGCCTGCTGTCAGCAGGTGACGAGCTCCTGCACGTCGGGATCGAGGCGGAGGCGACGCGCTGTACCAGAGCGTTGGTACTGACACCCGCCGTAAAACGGACATTTAACCAAATTGTGACCTTTACCTTCTTGCAATTTAACCTTCCCCTCACCCCCATCCTAACCTTAACCAGCTTGCACATGCAAAGCTCTGATTGTTGACACGCTCCAGACATCTGCGTCCTGAGCACGGCCACAGTAACATTATCAAATCAGGTGTCGCCACCTCAAAAACTAATTTAACGCGATCGTTCATGTCGGCTCATTTCCTTTCATGTTTTCTGTCTTTTATTTGTGCCTGATGCGTTTCGCTGCTGTGGAGCGGGGCGCATCACCTGGTTTGTCCTCCGGTGACACACCTAAATGATGCGGCCGGCGAGCAGCGAGCACTCCGCTGTTTTAGCGGTCGGTAGATCTTTTAGAACTGCAGTTCAAAGGTAACTCATGAGGTGAATATATATGAACCCAGGTAGCAGTTTCTCTTTAGTGTTGAGGGTCTGACCTCATGAGGAAATTACTATGCAGTGATTTTCTCCAAAATGACTGTGCTTAAATTGCTCTGAAAAGCAAATAATCACATCAGCGCCAAGAAACTTCATTTCCCATGATGCTTTGCACACGGAAGCATTGTGATGACGTCACCGCCTAATACCAGAAACACATTCTGTGCATGTGTGGGAGTCAGCGGAGCTTTCCCGCGAACTAAGACTATAAATCATCAGGAAAGACAAAGGAACCTCGTTCTTTTGCCCAGGATACCTGGCGGTAAGGACACGCTTGTCGAACGCTCCGACTCCCTTGAGCACGCGGAAGCTCTAAGTGCCCAAGTTGAGCCCACGGAACTGCTGGAAACTACACTCCAACTCCATCGGGACCTGACTGTGAACGAGCGGAGCTCCATCCAGCTCTCAGAGACGCTGTAAGTTGTCAAACTCAGCCCAAAAGAAACTTCGTTCTTTTTGTGTCCAGCCCGTTGGAGAAACACTCGGGCCAAAACAACGGAGAAAGCATCAAACCGACGGACGACGCCAAACTGCGGAGAAACACGGAGAACCGTCAAATCAAACAGCTGGGGACGCCTTGCTGTTCTGGTGATCAGAAAACTCATTTCTCTCTCTCCTCTTCTTCTCCCGTTTCCTCTATAGTCCAGAATAAGCAATAAAACCGCGCTATTGCTTAAAAGGTAGCTTCGTGTTTTCCTCTTTCGTCCCAAAAACGTCAGCCGGGTCATTTTGAAAGAGTAAACTGCTTATTGATCATCGCTAATATCTTTAGTCGTCAGCTCTGGCCAGGCTGCCGACTCCTTTTAGATTAAATAATTTACAAGTGACCTTTTGTTGTTTGTTAACTTTTGAAGTGTTTGAGTTAAGTTTTACTGTGATTCTAAGCCACTAAGTGTTCGGGAAAGTTGAAAACTTTACACATCCAGGTCTCCTGTTGAATGCGAGGGGAGGGGAAGAGCCCCACACACACTCACAGCTCACTCCCCCCACCTACTCTGGGGAAACAAAAACCCATTCATCACACACACACACACACACTCACTCACACACACCACACAAACACCTTGAACATTATTTTGAATATACATCCTTTTATTATATCACATGGTTATTATTCATTTATGCCACTGTTTATTCATTTGACAAATTGTTAATTAAACGTTATAAAATTCAGATTTTCGTCTCCAGTAGCTTTGTTGTGTCGAAGAGAAGTCTCTGCTCCGAGGATTCTACGAACTTCAAGAAAGACTGATAAGAGTTTTGGATTCAATTTTTCCCCGGTTAAAGGGGAATGGTGCCCCGTATATCTAAGAATATCTTAATTAATTAATAAATCAGTAAATATTCCCATATTTACAGAATTTATTGAAGAATCCAAAAGTAAGTTAAAGCTTACGAATTGTTCGCTCCTAATAACCCCAACATTAGGATTGAGAGGAGATGCAGGAAGATAATAAACAGGCAGGACAGAAAAACAGTCAAATAAAAACAAGTTAGTTTTTGTACCTGCTGGTTGCAACAAACAGACACCATTGAAGGTAATCAGAAGTGAGGAACAGAAAATGAAATAATTATTTTAATGTTTAGAGCAGCAGGAACTCCGAGAGGCTGCAGGCGCATCAGTGAGTTTGCGGCCGCTGCGCAGGGGGAGGGGGGAGAGGGTTGAAGCAGGGGGAGGGGGGAGAGGGTTGAAGCAGGGGGAGGGGGGAGAGGGCTGAAGCAGGGGGAGGGGGGAGGGCTGAAGCAGGGGGAGGGGGGAGAGGGCTGAAGCAGGGGGAGGGGGGAGAGGGCTGAAGCAGGGGGAGGGGGGAGAGGGCTGAAGCAGGGGGAGGGGGGAGGGCTGAAGCAGGGGGAGGGGAGAGGGCTGAAGCAGGGGGAGGGGAGAGGGCTGAAGCAGGAACTACCGTTGTTAAAAGAAATGTGTTTAACTTTGAAAATGTGGGCGCAATTTTAATTGTCAAAAACTCCAGCGAACCATTAGTTCATTTTGCTCAAATAGAAATTGAGGCCTGCCTTTAATTCTGGCCCTCCTTCCAATAAAGGCCTGGAGCTTGATGAGCTTGAGTCAAATACAGGCCCGGGCCTGTATTAGAGGATTTACGGTAGCACAACTCACCTGAAGCACCGAGATCCAAACAGGTAAAATGGAAACATGGTTGTGTCTAAGCCCGACAGTTGTGGAGAAATTTGAAAAACGAGTTAGTTTGGATACAATTGCGTGGATACAATAGCGCCACCTAGTGGACAACATGTTCAGGGGCCACTAACATGTAAAGGCTGTGGCGGCTGGCCAGTAGAGGGCGATAGGGCACCGCCCTCCCAGTTTCCCCAGTGTTTTTCATTTTTATTTTTAAAAATAAATAAATAAAATTAACAATAATCACATATTCTAAGTTAATTGTGTGTTTTGTAACAAAAATAAATCATATATATATATATATATATATATATATATATATATAGGTCTCTGCCGATCTCTGCCGAGCGGTGGAGGCTGTGTGCTGTTTTTCAATCGCCCAAACAGGACGGGACCAGTTGTCCAATTGCTGACAAGAAAATCAAAGGGTAGGAATGGGAATGTCTCCAATCAGCGTCGATGTTGTTTCAGAAGCACGATGGGCAATAGAGCTACCGCCAAAGGCTTTCGTTGGTGTTCGGTAGAACTCGGAGAGTCTCGACTCCAACACGTTTTTGGTCGTGACTCGTGACGGTCATGACGCAGACGCAGACATGGACGCCAGTGAGCCTACAACCAGCATGGAGACCGGATCTCAGCAGCCACTGAATTCAGTTCGGTCTCTTCTCCAGTATCCGTTCGAGAGGAGAACTATGGTGGAAAAACTTAATGTCAAAGAGCTTGGACCAGATCAGCCCGACGTAAAGATAAGCCAGCAGGAGAAGGAGAGAGGTAAACTGTACACACGAGGCTTCTCCCAAAATTGGTACACCAGGAAGCAGTGGCTAGCTGGATGCAATCACGCTAATGCGTTATTTTGCTTTCCGTGTTTGTTATTCAAAACGGCTGGGATCCACAGAAGGTGGATGTGGAACTTGTGTCTCATTGGGGACTCCATTCATTCTCTGACTGAGGAATGCAGCGCATCAGTGCAGCAGCCAACATAGAAACGGAGGACGTTTGGACAGGGAGAACAGCAGCTGGGTGCAGAGGTAAGCTGTACATTACATTTCTGTAAACAAGACAATCAGAATCAGAAATCCTTGGTTGTCCCACAAACCGGGACATTTGTTTAATAACATGTTTAATGTGCAATAACTGTAAAAACTCATTTCAACACACATACCTATTATACATATTTAATCACGTAAATGTGTATTTCATGTAAATTTGTACATACATCAATCTGATTCCATTTTACTTGTTACACTTCTGCTGCAGCAAACACATTTCCCAGCTTTTGGGACAATAAAACATTTCTGATTCTCAATGAGATGTTTTTACATTTGAAGTAAAAACATCTCATTGAGAACCAGAAATGTTTTATTGTCCCAAAAACTGGGAAATATGACATTTGTAAGAGGATACTGATAACATTATTTCCTATGAAAGTGTTTCCACTTTCCATAAGTCCTAACAGTGTAAATTTCTGGCATTTTGTCTAAGTGGTGTTTACTACCATTACTGTAACAGTGACCTGCTCATAATTTTTGGTGTTCTCTCAAATGTTGAAATTAAACAAAATGTTTTTGTTACTTGCCTCTTGCATTGCCTATTTACCATTTATGGTCGTGTTATTTTATGTACAATTTAATGCAGTATTTTCCAACCTTGGTCTGCAAGGCAGCGTGCCAATAGTCAGACACACCTGGATTAATCAGTTTGTCCAATGATGTAAGACAGGAAATAAAAGAGCTGTGCTTAATTCAGGAAATAGTGAAGTTGTGCACAAAGCTCAGAAAGCACAAGTTTGTTTAAAAATAAAAAATAGCACAACCCCACCAAAAATATTTTTCACCAGCCGCCACTGTGTAAAGGGTGTGTGATTTCTTCACAAAATATTTTACTCATCACATTTGTTGGTTTCCATGTGGCATGTGAAGAGAATTCCAAGCAAAATGGCAAAAAAGGCTCCAGGAAAACATCTCCGACCCCAAACTTACTAGTCCAAGTCTGCAGGCATGACAACGGTCACCGGTGATGGAGGACTGCTGGAAAACATGGATCCAAGTCAACTGTCAGAAGGATTTTAGGGGTGTATTTTGTTGCCATTACTCCAATCTGAGGCTGTTCGTGTACTACAGGTAAAATAGAAGGATGAACCACTTCAGAATGGCTGAAAGGTTCCTTATGATGCTTTCTTCCATCTCTGTAGAAAAGCTGGTGAGGTGGTCCATCTGGGGCTTAGGGCCCGAGCATCTCCACTCTTCAGTCTGGGTTCGGCTCCTGAAGGTCGTGTAACCCAACTCGATGACGGATGAAAGAACAAACAGGAACAGAAAACTGGAAATCTTTATTACAGAAAGGATTTACAATATCTTACACACAGGACACGTGTGGCGGGTGAGGCAGGAGGAACCTTTGGCTTTTTGTTCTAAGATGTGTTCTCCTGATGACAATAACTTCCCTTTGTGATTGATCTGTAAACATTCAGTTTGGTTGGCGCGCACACACACACACACACACACACACACACACACACACACACACACACGCACGCACGCACGCACACACACACACACACACACACACACACACACACACACACACACACACAGTTCTGGGCTACAGGTACATGCGGGTCCTGCTGGAGTGCACCCCCTCAAGGTGAACGTCCCCCTGCGGGCTGTCGGTCATGGAGCAGTCCACAGCGATGACGTTCTGTATCTGGCTGATCTTCACCTCCTCCTCTGGGATGTCCACCGCTATCGGCATCTTCAGCTCCTCCAGGATCTTCTCTGCTGACGAGCTGCGGCTGGACAGTTTGTCCTGCTCGTCCTCCAGTTCTGACAGGCGTTCAGCGACACAGTGGGCCGTGAGGCGGGCCTCAGGGTCATGGTCCCAGCACTCCTTGATTGTGGCGCAGATCACACTGATGCCCTGAAGAAGAGAAAGGACACCTGTCTGAGATACACCACAGCTCTGTGATCCCTAGGAAGTATCATCCTTCAAGTCTTCTCTCACCAGATGAGTTTCTTTGTTCTACTAACCAGAACGCCATGTTGGTGAGCAACACATGACTAATCTGCAACACCTCCTGCTGCCCTCATGTGAAGCAGGACAGGGCAGCTGGAGGAGATCTGAGAACGTTTGCAGGACTTCACAGTAGATTTGTTTAAAAGGCTTTTGCTCTCTCTGAGATTTCTGCACTTATCAATCATTTCAGAAGGAGGGTTTGGTTGTTCCTCTGTGTCCTGCTGATCTGCAGACAGCTGTGTGCGACCCACATCATCCAGCAGGTTCCAGAGACTGACCTGATGCCTGAGCCAGCTGTCGGGGATCTCCGGTCTTCCTTTGTCTCTCAGGACGTTGTCCTTCATGCTCTCCACACAGGGGTGCTCTCGCACTTTGGAGCCGAACGCCGGCTCATACTCCTTCACCTCTGAAACACATCAGAGCAGACAGCAGCTCTCAGACCCAGAAGCATAAGAAGAAGGTGAGAAGAAGCTGGCAGCTGCTGGGGCCAGGCTTCACGTGCACCCAACAGTGTTAAAGCCCGGCTCGTGGGACTGCAACAAGAGGAGGAGGTCAGGACACAAGGTTGATGTTTAAGAACATACAAAAAAAACACCTTCAAAGACAAACTGCCACAACACACTCAACAGTAATGTGTACCCTACACGAAAAACAGCCACAGACAAAATAATCATCACACCGCAGTTGCTACACAAAAAAATAATACCAAACTTAACTGATTCAACACAAAGTGAACTGGTGGCTACACAGAACTGCAGCAAAGACCCAGCTACGTCACCACAGTCACAAACTAAAGGATTACCAAACCAAAGTCACTACAACGCAAACACCAAGTAGCAACTGGTAACCCACACCAAACTAAACTGTTGCCACCACAACACTAATGATCACAAAGTGGATTCACACCACACCAAATTACTACAAGTCTTAGCAACAAATCAGTGAGCCACGCCCAGACACACTGATCACAACTGGTGGCTTTTTGCTCCACATCGAGTTATGGCTTTCACCTCGCCAGCAATATTCAAGTGATCAGTCAAAAAAAATAAGGAAAGGCAGCTAAAAGTATTGACAAACCACATCAAACAAAAGCCAAGTAGCTGGCGTTCCACTATTGTGAACTCACCAGCGGTACCTCGAGCGTAGAGCTCCTGAAGGTGAAAAACAAATAAATGGGCTCACCACAAGTCATTTTCACAAACTGCTAAGAGACTAGCACATGCCAGGATGTAAAACTTTATACTCAATTAAAACACCAGGTCCATCCTCCTCCAAAAAGTCCAGATTATCCCGGACGAGCCCCCCATTTGTTACAATCCAGGCTGTCTAGGGGCCTGGGGTAACAATTGAGGATGCATGTTCTCATGTTAAAAGTAACAAAACAACACTTATTTACATAAATATAAACACAAAACGCAGATTAACAAGAGGCATCAGCAGCAACGCAAAACGAGTAACAACTAAACTCTCATATTAACCAAATTAATACCAAAACTACGAAAGACCATCACATAATGTCCCTTTTACTGAGTGATGTCTTATTTAAAGCAAGCGAAGGGGTAAAGTTTCCTTTACACCTAAAAAGGCTGACGGTTAAACAGAGAGATTCCTAAGCACCCACCAAAGTTGTCACATAACACTTTAACTTAACAAAACCCAAAGCTGCTGAGGGGGCAGCAGGCCAGGGAGGTTCTCTCTGGTTCTCTCTGTCCTGCTGTCACAGGAGTGAGACACGTGATGTTGTCTGCACACATCAAGTCATTTCAGCAAAACGTTTAATTCTAGAGCCCTGGTGGTTCTGGAGAGGGACCAGATGAGCTAATCACATCCTCCTTTCTCACTGCATTCATGAAGACAGCTTCAGGTCCCCATGAAGCTCCAGCAGCTGGTCCACCTGTGGCATCAGCGCTCCTTCAGGTGTCAGAGCATCTGCAGCTCAGTGAGGGGAAGACTGGGAGGATGACCTGGAGTAAAGAGGGGCAGCTGGGTCCAGACTGATGAGTCGTTATAAAAACATCCAGATTAGAGCCTTGATGAAGCTTTCCTGATCCCTCAAACAGAGGAGGTTGGGAGGAGCTGGACCTCCACTCCGGAAGCTGGAGGCCCAGGATTGGGACTATGTGGAAAAAAGCTGACTACAGGTTTGCACTTCCTGCCTTGACATGTGGAACTTCCTGTGGCTCGAGCCCAACTTGACCTACTGGGGAGTGTTCCCTGGACAGCGGACAGCCCAGAACACAGACTCCTGAGGAGGTAGAAGGTCTCATTGTTGATCTTCAACTGTTTCAGGAGGAATGGCTGTGCGTTCTCTATGAGGAGACTGACTGTTCCTAAGTTATGAGAAGAATTTCTTCTGTGGTTTGAGACCAGATTTCACCACCGAGTGTAACCTGAGCCTCAGCCTCAGCTTCCCCTGGCTGTCTGAGGCCCTCGGTAAAAATCCTAGTCAGTTCGATCTCAGGGACAGGAAGTGGTTTACGACAGTTTCCCTTTTAGATTATCTGTCTGAGACCAATGTGGCCCGGAGGTTAGCAGACACCCCGGTGCTGTCTGGGCTCAGCCACGTCTCTGTGTTGGTCCAACACATCTTAGAATGAAGGGCGGAGAACAACACCACGGCGTATGAAATAAGCAACACACCACCCACCAAACAAAGCCCTGCAGCCACACTTCCAGGACGCTGTGGGCTGAATTCCTGTGGAACATCTGGCAGAACATCAGGCCAGCTGCTGGTGTTGTCCACAGGGGCTGCCCTCCCTGAAATTGAGGGGGTGAGGCGGGGGGGCATTTATACATACATGTGCACACTGATTTATTTATTCAATATTCCACCTGCTGTCTCATTAAACAGTGAATTTCTCCAACAGATTCACTATTTTCTTTTTCACATCGATTTAAAAATCTGATCTTTTTTTCTTGCAGCCGAGAAGCCCGATGAACCGGCTCTGTGTGTGGAAGCTGCCACGCTTCAGGGGTGGAGCTCGGTGGACCTGGCCCCCCAAACAGAACATGTTGTGCTTATCATCGCTAATTACAAAACAGAATTCTGTTTACACACAAACAACGCAACAGATCTAGCCTGGCCTGCCAGACCCGTCCTCTAGTCTGGTTCCTCACAGGCAGAGAGGCACATGAGGGGCGGGACTAGCCAGCTCCAAAATAACCAATCAGAAAAAGGTGGAAATGCCGACTGTACCGCGCAACGCTGTTTTTGGCTGTAGTTAAAAAAGGCGTCTGGCGACGGTGCAGACATCTTTTTTTAAGGCTTTTAGCTTCTCCTTGTTGTGGTTTTAAAGACGTTCAAGTCATTTAGAACGGAGGGAAGAGCTGCAGCGAACTCCACTTCAGACGCCATGTTTATGAGAAACTCAGCATAGCCGTGTGTGGCGTACGCTGCTCAGCACTGATTGGCTCGGTTACATTTATCAGGGGTGGGGTTATAGGGAGCCTAAGTCACGCCCACTTACTTCCGGACCATGGGTGCCCGGAAGAACGAACAAATGCATACAAGTCGCTAACGGGGCTAAAAACGCTAAAAACACTATTTTCTAACTCTGCTTGTTATGGATTTCACACTTGATGTCCGTGAATTTTAAAGATGCATTTTGATACCAAGAACAAACTTATTTTTGAATGGGGGAAGCGTTATTTTAGGTTTGTTTGAAAGTAAGTCCAGGACTACAAGTGTGCTTCATAAAAGTGACGTCATCGACCCAGACACGGAGAAAACCGAGGGGAAAGGGCTGTAAGTTCAGCAAACTTCAAATCCCTCCCACAGGAGGAAAGCACCACCATACATCTGGTCATGTGGTGAGTAGCAGCTAGGCTAGGGGGGAGGAGGTTATGTGGTGACGTCATGCCAAGTGCTGATCTAGTCATGCTAACTACAAACTTTTACAAGCTGATAAATCTTTAAGTACGTGACAGGCGGGGTCGAAACACCCATCTTTACTTTTCTTTTAAATTGCAGTGCAACATGTGTGTGATCCAGGGCGTAAGGCAGAGCGGGTTAGAAAACAGCGTTTTTAGCCCCGTTGACTCGCATTCATGTTTTCGTTCTTCCGGGGACCCGTGATCCGACCGGGAAGGGAGGAGACTTAAATCCTATTTGAATAGAAGAGTTCCTAGCCCCGCCCCGTGCCTGTATTGGGGAGCTGGTCAGGCTACAGCAGAACATCAACAGGCAAAGAAATACTGCTGATTTCTAGCTGCTCGTTTCAAATTAAAAGCACCATGTTTAATATTTGTTGCTGTTTACTATCAAAGTCATATCCTGTTCACTAATTATAACAGTTTTC